AACTCTTTATAAAGTGGTTTGACAGTAGCTTGTAGGACAACAGAGCTGACCTCATGAGGACTTGGAAGGCTAAAGGGAGCAAGTACGTCCACACTTTGTAGTGAAGAAGAACTGCCCCATGTTCTCTCTCACTAACTCTAGACCTGCAAGCAGTCTTGCAGCATTAATATGGACGAATACAGGGGGCAAGCAGGGCTGCTCATTCACGTCCTTGAACAGCCAGACTGCTTCTGGAGTAAGTGGTGTCTGTGAGTAGTGTTGCAGTGCACCACACCTACGCAGCAGCACATGCAGGCGTCCTGTGGGCTTCTCTGACGCAGCGCTGCATCATGATGCGCATGCAAGCATTGCCTCTGCAAACGCTGAAACTGGTCCTAGAGCTAAAACAGCGTGAACACATCCTTCAGTTACAAAGTCAATCGATCCCTATCATCCAGCATAGGTAACGTTTGCCCGTAGCCTTCTGCAAAATCTAGTGATACTTGGAATAGTTTGAACTTGTGATAACAGAAGTGCTGAAATGGAAGGAGTTAGGAGGTTTTTTTATGATGATTTCAGAGTAGGGAGTAAGTGAGGGACCCTTTGCTCAGGGTTGTGGTGTGTTCAGTGTTCGTTTTCTCCTTGGACACGGAAACAAAGTAGCCCCAGAAAAGCTTTTTAACTCAGCAGTACCACTGTTGTTCCATGTATTTTGGTTGCTGATGCATAAAAAGAGATCCAAAAGTGTAGAGAATTTTTTTTCTCCCTGCTACTTAATTCCCAGAAAAGTAAGCTTGAAAGGATTTAATCAGAATAGGTTCTTTTCCTTTTAAATTATATATATCTGTGTGTGTATATATATTTTTTCCCTGTAGTAATTTGTGGAAGGATTAGAATTCATATTGGATTCCTTGTTTTCTTGTGAATTTTGATTTGTTATGGTACTGCTATTTATAAGAAGTCACAATGCTTTTTTTGATACAAAGACTGAAAGAGATGTTTGGCATTCATTTTTATATGAATTATATGTATTTCTCTGAATATGTTAGAACACCAAAGTAAAAATATTTTTTTCTGTGTAATCATTTACAGTATAGCTTTTCTTGTATTGCATATAAATTATAACGAGTCTGGGCCTTTAAATGTTTGAAATTACGTTATAATTCTCACAGTTGTCACTGTCTTCTGCAATGTCTGTTACATCTTGATCAAAAGGAACAGTAAAATCCACCAATATCAGTTTAATAGAAGAGTGCAAGACCTGCATGCCCTCTGGTGGAAGCGATCCTTAACAGTAGATCAGCTTTTGTGGCAGTGCTAAGTGTCTGACCTGCAGACAGACACACTCTCCTTTGGTACACTTTGTTACTCAATTAAGTTATGTTTCTCCATAGCAGAGTTTGTTACCTCGTAGGAAGGAAAACTCTTCCAGTACATTGCTTTTTTCCACACTTTTCATTACAGTTTGAACTCTCTCATTTCTCTTCAGTCTCTTTCTTGACTTTTTAACCTTGTTATTCCGCTGTAATAAAAAGAAAATGAGTTATATACTGTGTAAAGGTATTGAACAGTATCTCATTATTGACACAGGTTTTATATGTAGAATTTTGCTCTGCTTTTAAGGAAGTTTACAGGTCCGATACAAGCTGAGTAAGGATGGGCTCCTCATTTTCACTATTGACTCTGGAAATTTTGCCAACCGAGAGCTGCACCATGTGAAGATTAACAGAGAAGGCAGAGAGCTCATCATTCAGGTATGCCATGACTTATGTTGAGTATTAAATAATACCTCATGCTACAAACAGACCCACTGATTTCAATGCATGATCACCAGCAGGAGGCAAAAGCTTCAGATTGATCTGGTGCAACTAAAGCTGGTCCAGCAGCAGAACAGCCGTGTAGGTTAGACCAAAGCTCCATCCAGACCCTGCTTCAAAAGTGCCCAACCATGGTGTTTTCCATTGAGTGATCCTTCCCTTGTCTCTGACAATCTATGAATTAGGAAACACCTTTGGCCAGAAGTTCATCTGGACCATTGGAATGGTTCTGAGGCTTAGGGATGTCTGTATGACCTATAGTCCCAGAGGAAGCACACAGTATGGATACTTAAAAAACTGCCAAAGCGGGAAAAACAGCTGAGGAATGAGCACCTGGGCATGTCATTTCATTTAGGGTATGTGCCCCAAGGGACAATGTGACCCCAGCTGCCTTAACTTCTAACAGAAAAGGAAAAGTTGAGGGAACACAGGGTGCAGCCACCATGTGCATGATGATGCCCTGTCCCTTTTCTAGAAGCAAGCTATGCTGAATGTGACAACCTCATGAGAGACAAGAACCCTCCTCTGCCTTGTTTCCCTGCATCACCTGTTTTTCCAAGGCAGGGAGAAGAGGACCATCTTACTGCTCCTTCTGCTTTCTTTCTGAGGCTAATTATAGCAGTTCATATTCCAAAACAAATTGGCTAGATCTGGGCAGCAGTCATTTACCAGGGAAGGGTGGCAGAGTCTACAGAGAAGCCGTGTGTTCAGGATTAGAATGAGGAGACAGAAACACAGGGAGCACCACAGTTTTTCTTTACAGTTTCCATGTCTGGGTGGTAAAATGGTAACATCGTTACCACACAACTAGGGTAGGTAGGCTTGATTATCTAAGGAGGAGGCTTATGCTGAAAGCCAGGGTTTTCCTCAAGTACCAGTCTTCTGTTGTTTGCTGCACTGTAGTTTTCTTCTATGCAGAACTAATTCTTCACAATACATTTCTAGAGAGGCCTCCTTTGAGTGTATTCTGAAGTGACTAGACATGGATTTTGAGAAGCAGGGGAATTTCAGTGTCAAACATTTTAAGCTTTTCTGCAGGGGAGGTTTTTTCAAAGCCCTTTATATGACTATTCCGATGTACATTTCAGCTTCTCATGTTAAAATCAAAGCACATTCACTTTGCTATTTTTAGAAACGGAGTAACACTTGGGGGCAGAATTAACTGAGTTGCAGCTGAGAGCATTCCCAGAAGTTTGCAGCACAGAGAGATCTAGGGGTGTCTACATGCTGTTGTAATGAAATAATTTTATTGACCTCTTCCAGGTTGATCAAGTACTCAAACTCAAACACAACTTTTCTGAGATTGATTTTAAGGCCATCAAATCACTCAGCTTGGGCAAGGTCACAGGTAGGTTCTACTGAAAATATTCCTGATTCATCAGTTGTTATAGTGCTGGAGTTAACCTGTGCTGTGTGTTGGGTTTTTTAATAGAATTGGGGTTTTGTTTGGCTGGTTTAGCTGTAAGAGTCGGCCTGAGCATTCCAGTACACTTATTTGTATATCTCATCGATACAAAAATTTGGCAGCTTTACTTGTTTGCATTGATAGCAATATTAACTTCTCCCATTGCTCCCTCCAGTAAAGTTATTCATACTGCCTGTGTAGCTGCACAGGTTGGCATCTTAGCCTAATGATATAATTTTGCTGACTACAGCTTGCTCCTCTCAAGCCACCTCTGTTTCCTAACAATAAGAACAGCACAGTAAGCCTTCATCTTCTCTACCCTTTTTTCAGTGCAAGTCCTTTTTCATTTGAATTCTGCAAGGAATGTTTATATTGTGCAGAGCACTGAGCCCACAATTCTGCATGCTCTGTGTGTGGACCTTCTTGATCTTCACCCCTCCACACTACAAAGCTATTATAAGACCAGGAAAACTATGCCTGAAATTTGGAAAGTAGAACTCCTCTGTTTTGTTGTCAAGTATATTATATTACTTTATATAAGAGTCTTAGTCATTCCCAGTAAGATTCTAAATGCTTCCTTGGTTATAGACATTTTAGTCCTTTGTTAGAATGGGACCTCCATATCAAGCCTGACATCTGTTTCACTATTACAGTTTTATATGTTTTATTAATAGCACTCAAGGCCTGAGGGACTGGTAGCTACACAGAAACTACAGACATCCTCCAGTGCCTATTTGTGCAACATAATTGTATATAATGACATTAGTGCATTCTGCCTCATGTTTTACTAAGTAGATTAAGGGCAGGAACTAATTTTCCCTTTTATTATATTTAATGTTTGTTCAGAATGCAGCAATCTTCCAAGCCTTTATGGACAGGTTTGGGGACCTGACACATTTTAGCCCAAGTCAGAGCTAAGCTAAAATTCTCATTTTCTCAATGGTCAGCTGTAGTGCTGAAAATCTAAAAGAACATCGCGTATCATGACCTCTACCTAAAGCTCCAGCTATAGCTATCAAATCAATAAACCAGCTAGCAAGATGGAACATAACAGAAAGACCTTCAAACATGTAGCCAGCAAGCTGGCAAGGTGCAGCTCAGCATCATGGAGAGAAACTAGATTTAGTCACAAAAATATGATTAACTTCACAAGTACAAGGTTGTTGCAAAGCCAAAAAGCCCAGGTGTATCTCCAGAGATCTGGCATTCAGTTCCACCGAACACCACAGATTTGTCTCCAGACAGTTTTTAATGGATATATCCTTCTGTTATTTCTCCCTTGCCCCCAAGTTTATTAGGATTTTGTTTAGTAACAGTAATAATAATAGTTGGTATTCTGTAATGATAGTAAACTCATAAACTTGGCCATCCAGATGGTGGGAGATCTTATTGCTATACCAGGAATCATATAATGCATCCCAGTAAATCACTTTAATTCCAGCCTAATCCTAATTCTGGTTTCTTCTTCATATATTAAGTGAATTTCCACAATTTTTTTCTTCTATGTCAGGATTTGATTTTCCAGATTTTATTCCACAGCTGTAGCTGTCTTGAGTAGAGTCCTTGTGCCCTCACAGAATCACAAATCCCACAAGTCGTCTCCTCTCCAGGTTGAATGGTCCCAGCTCTGTCAAGCCTCTCTTCATATAAAAGATGCTCCAGTCTCTTAATCATTTTTTTGCAGCCCTTCACTGGACTCACTCCAGTAAGTCCATGTCATCTTCCACTGGGGAGCCCAGAACTGGGCCTAGCAGTCCATTAGTGCTACACTCATGCAGAGTATGGGGGAATAATCGCTTTCTGTCTGCTAGCAATGCACTTCCCAACGTAACTCTGGATACCAGGATGTTGTTGGCTGCCTTTGCTGCAAGGGCACATTTCTGGCTTATGGTCAGCTTGTCCACCAGAACCCCCATGTCCTTCTCTGCAAAGCTGCTTTCCAACTGGTCAGCCCCAAGCAGTGTTGGTGGATGGGGTTATTCCTAATCCAAGTGCATTTCCTCTGTTGTACTTCATGAGGTTGCTGTTTTCCCATTTCTCCAGCTTGTCAATGTCCCTCTGAATAGTGACAGAATCACAGAATCACTAAGGTTGGAAAGGACTTTCAAGATCATCAAGTCCAACCGTTAATCCAATGCCACCATGCTCCCTAAACCATGTCCTGAAGCACCACATCCACATGTTTTTTGAATACTTCCAGAGACGGTGACTCCACCACCTCCTGGGCAGCCTGTTCCAATGCCTGACCACTCTCTCAGTGAAGAAATTTTTCCTAACATCCAATCTAAGCCTCCCCTGGCACAACTTGAGGCCATTTCCTCTTGTCCTATTGCTTGTTACTTGGGAGAAGAGACCAACAAACATCTCACCACAACCCCCTTTCAGGTAGTTGTAGAGAGTGATAAGGTCTCCCCTCAGCCTCCTCTTCTCCAGACTGAACAACCCCAGTTCCCTCAGCTGCTCCTCATAAGACTTGTGCTCCAGACCCCTCACCAGCTTCGTTGCCCTTCTCTGGACACGCTCCAGCACCTCAACATCCTTCTTGTAGTGAGGGGCCCAAAACTGAACACAGGATTCAAGGTGCGGCCTCACCAGTGCTGAGTCTAGGGGCACGATCACTTCCCTACTCCTGCTGGCCACACTATTCCTGATACAGGCCAGGACGCTGTTGGCCTTCTTGGCCAACATATATGTCCTACATATCTATGCTATACTCTTCTGAAAATTTCTCTCTCTCCTTCTTTCCTGTCACACCACTGCTTATTTGCCTGCTGTAACAGCCTGATCCTGGCTGCTTAATCAGATGATTACATCACCTTCTTTCTTGACTCCACCATTCATTTTCCACTGGCTGAGAAATATCAAAGAGAGCTTCCAGCAGGACATCATAGAAGCTTGAAACCTCTTCCTCACCAGATTTTCTTATAATAACAATTTTAGAACAGCTGGAACTTTTGAAAAGTGCACTTTTATACCATGACCGGTTTTTAAATAACAGTGGTCTCCTACCTACCCGCTCCCCCAGCCCCATTACACTTTCTTTAGTCAAAAGCTACTTAAACTCTGATATTGTTTTCTGTTTTTCAAATCTGCTATATCTTCCAATGGCTGCCCTACACCCAGTTCTGGATTCCAGGAAAAAACACTCCGTTTAAGGCAAAGGAGGTTCATCCTGGAATTCAAAACATAGGACGCTCACTCTGCCACAGACTGCTTGAATGACCTTGGGCAAGCCCTTTATGTGCAGATACAAAGGTAAGCAGGCATTTTATTCCCACTGAAACTAGTCTGAGCTTTACTATCTCTATTATCTATCAGTAAAGCATGGGTAATAGAACATCCCTACATCAGAGGGCTGCTAGGAGGATAAGAACATTAAAGGCTGTGAGCTGTTCAGATCCACAGTAATGGGGCCATATAACTGCCTTACAAATCAATCTAAATGTAAGTGTGGCTTTGAAGACAAGGGACTAAACAGAAGTAGCATTCAAGTAGCCAATAGACATTTCTTGAATTCATCCTTATGGTATCCAACAGCAATAGAACAATATTATTGTCCTGTAATTTGTTGTCTTTTTTACTTCACAAATGTAGAGGCATGACGCAAAAGGATCTATCCAAAGCTCATCGGTATCAATGGGAGTTTTTCCATGGACTTTAGTGAGTACTGGATTCAGGCCCCACGTGGGTCATACAGTTTATGGCAAAGCCTCAGTGAAATCTTAACCAGAGTCCCAGTTCATTTACTTTAAGTACTCCTTGCAGAGATCATACTGCTGTATTTAACCACATGAGCACTATTGGCAATCTGACCTAACTGTGAAGCTGGCTCCGTTTTGAACAAGGGATTGAACAGTGTGACCTTCAGAGGTGTCTTTCAACTTAAATTATTCTGTAATTCTCTGATCTCAGAGACACATTTACATGTGTTTAGGTCTTGTCTAGAAAAAACTGCTATCTAATGGAAAATATAATTTATTTGTTTTGGGGTTGGCCTTAATGAATCTTTGGAAACTTCTTACTGTGCCCCAACATGTCTAAATCTTTCACCATTATAGTCCCTGGAAAAATAATGACTGATGCAGAGAAGTGAATCTCATTGTCTGTATATTTGCTTCTGAGCAATTTAATATACTAGCTGTGTAGTGATACCAGAGTAAAAGGGTAGCACTGAAAGGGATTCAAGAGTGTTCTGAAGAAAAAGGTTGCAAAGATTTCTTTAGCACCCGTTAATGTTGACCTAATTTACTTGTGTCTTCAAAGTGATGAATTAGCAGACCTTCCCACACTGGCAATGTAAAGAACTGTGTAGTCTAGCACATGATCATGATATCTTTTATCTCTAAAAGCCAGAGCTAAAACGCACTCAAGTTGTAGGAGTCTTTCCACTGACTAATTCAGCTTTGATATAAAGTGTAGGTAGAAGAAAGTTTATTTGGAAAGTAATTTTATTAAAATGATTATGTAGGTGCAGTACAATTCTTATGATTTCTACAATAGCTTTTCTTATTAAAAGTTCACAAAAAGAAAATGGAATCTATATACTGAAGAGATTGCAGAGCAATTCATCCAAGAGTGATATTATATTAGGGGACATGATAACAGGATAATTAAATCAGAAGGGGTAAGTTGGCATTAACTCTGAGATAGAAAAGCTTCCCTAAAGAAGCACTTCCTTTTAGAGAGTTTCTATGGAAAAGATTTAAGTCCATTTTTTTGGTGGAAATTCATTCACTTTTTTAGACTCACAAGATCATAATTTGCTTGAGAAATTTAAAGTCACAGTCACAGAATATTGTGCTCTAGCATTTTAGACAATACAGCAATGGCTGCAAGAGATATGGCTGGATGCTTCTGGTCACTCTAAAGCTCTTTTCTTTACTGCAGTCTCTTCTTGCCCTAGATACCTATTTCTTAGAAGGACCATACCCTGGAAAACCATCTCCTAGGTGCGTTATAGGGCACCTTTAAAAGTCATAGTTTTTCCTTCTAGTAGCCTAGTAAAGCATTAAGGAAAATGAAGATGGCTACTTAGGATAAGAGAGGCACTGGGGACCAAGATGGCAGCAGTTAAAATAAGCAAAGTTTGGCTACCCCAGGCACTTAAAGCAATCCAAGGTCTAATAAAATAATGCCATCATGTCTTTATCAAAAAGAGAACAAATCTATTCAGACTTTTTCCCCAGCAATATCATTTACCATATGTTCATAACACCATGCTTAAATCCCTGTTTTCTTGATGATAATACTGCCTAAATAAGTGTCCAAGGTCATCTACTTCTATCCAGAAATTTTATTTTTAGTCTGAATTCTTGCTATTTGAGTTGATTTTTAGCTGTCTGCTCCTGACAAAAGCATGTATTCTGCACATCATCTCTCCATCTTCTTGCATATTTTCTTCTTTTTAGAGATTATATTTTGAGCCCATGCAAAATCGCGTAGGGCTGGCTGTGTTGTGACAGATTAGGATTCAAATGTCAAAAATGTGACATGTAACAAATTTCACATTGCAGCTCCAAGCAGTACTTCATTTTCGATGACAAACTGTCTCCAAGAAAACATACTAAATCCCTGTCTGAAATTATCTCCACTGAGCCTAATGAAACAAAAATTCTCAAATGTTCCACTTGGAACAAAATGTTCAATTGCTGGCAAGCAAATTCTGGCATGTTCTGCCTGTTCCTGGGAAAACTTGTGAGAAGAAGTACCTTTACTTTGCTCTTGCTGTCCCTTGCTTTTTCAGAAATGTCTTGGAGGTGCATTGAATGCCTGGAGCCTGTCTCCTGTTCAAACTCATCCTTTTCTTAAGCAAGAGCGAAACTGGTTGAGTTCAAAGGTTCTAACATGGAAAAAAACTCTCTGTTGTTCACTCCGCTGCCTTTGTGGCAGGTTCACACTCCCAAAGACAGCTTTTTGTGGGTTCCAGTCTAATCCAAGATACGCTTTCTGCCCTTTCAAAATTAATGATTAGTATCAGCAGTGTTTAGTGAAGTTTTTGAAGAAAACAGCAGCATATTTTTCAAAGTAACTACACAGTACCTGCTAGTCAACTCTTCTGAGACACGAGAGTCTTTTACTTCTAATGTCATGGGCTCAAATCTAGTGACAATGTCCATGAAGTAATCTTGCCAGTGCTGTTCAGCACCTTGGCAAAATGAGGTGATGAATATACTTTAACTCCCACAAAAATAATCTTTCTATTTCTCAGACTCAAAAAAAAGGAAAACCAGTGCTTCAGAATACAGAGTAAATTATCCTTTGAGCTTCTACCAGTGATTCACCTAGATTAATTAATTAATTAGGGCAGAGACATTTCAAACAGGCTATGTCTGCTCTCACTGATGTTAGAAATAAATTTTGATTAAGGAAATCCATGATGGGCCATCCTAGATGTAAGTGGGCACACAAGTAAACTTTCTGCTCAGATGTAAATTTCTGAGTGATGTGAAATTAATGTTTATAAAGAAAGAACAAAAAGATATTGGATAATGTCTATGGTCCCATTTTCCACAGAGATATCTTTAGAAAGAAGGCCTTTTGAGCCACTCTCCCTGCATGCAAATAACACTTTTCATTTCCCTTTGATTCCAGTTACCTGTCATATTAGTTATTGTTTAACTACGTCAATTTGCTGATACATTGCTGAGCAGCTTAATGCTTGGTCCTAGACAATTCCAGCAGAATTCTGTTTATGATGAAAATTAATTCCCCATTACTGAGATATTAAGACTTAAAATTGCTTTATTTATTTTAGATCTTAAAACAAATGTGTTGTATGTGGCAGAGACGCACAAACAGCAGTGGAACTGGATGTCTGTTTTGGTGAATAGGAATGTATCAGCAGATAAATTATGTTGATACAATCAGTAAAGTTTAAAAAATACAACTACATGTTACACTTAATCCTCATTATCATGGAAAGCCATTGAAAATACATGGAAAACAGGAAAGCAAAACTGATGCAAAACTTACTGAGCTGTGACATTGCAGAGAGCTTCCAGGGAGCAGCTAGAGGACCCAGCAAGAAGCCAGACCAACTTATGCACAACTCAATAGGCGAAGCTTAAAAATTACTTCCTAAAAATATGGGTAAACTTAAGTTGTGGAGAATGAACAGTTACATTGCTCAAAAGATGAAAAAAATTGCCTTCTCATGCCCATGTAGAAATCATCCAAAGTAACTTAGTCTCCAGCACTTAGAACAGAAACACAATGCTAAAATGTCAGAAGAACAAACCAAGCCATCAGCAGCAATTCAGTGTGATTTTCTAGGCCAGTCAAATGCATGGAAAGACTCACAGGACAACCAGGTCAGAGGAAGGCCACTGACTTTTCATATGACCTTGCTTCAACACAGACCTTGGAACTTCACTGTGCCGCTTCTCTTACTGAGCACTGTGTCATGTAGTGAAAATACCTTTTTGAAAAACATTTTACTGTGATTTAAGGACTTCAAGTGACAGATTGGCCTTTAATAAGCCTTTCACAGAGGTAACCATGTCATAATCACAGATTTACATTACCCACTCAATAATTCAGAGGGCAGCACAAGTCATTCACATCCAAGTTGTGCAGGTCTCTTGTTGAGAACAGTGAAAGCTCCACTTTTGAAAGACATAAGGCATGCACCTAAAGCCATATAATAAAGCAAACTGTATTTGTGTATGTGGGATTTTTACCAGAGGGCTCTGGGGTTGTTTTTGGTTTGTTCTTTGATTTCATTTTTTTCAAATTTCAAAGCCTTTCAACAACAAATCTCCTAGTTCTCATTCATGCAAAGCTTACTTTGACAAAAGACTCCTGGAATTGTCCCTTAATTTGACTTTTTAAAAAATCCTTCAAAAGTACTGAATCTTAGACTTTTCAAACTACTGTACCATGAAAAAGAATTCATTATTTCTTAGGCTTTACCTTTTACACATTGGGGCAGAACAGAGCAATTTAGATTGCCTGATGTCTAAAAGATACCAACAAATCCACCTTTTGTGTCAGAGCTAAGAAAACAGGAAAGGCAGAGAGTAGGAATGTTTACAAAGGGTTTTATAAATTCAACAAAGGTGGCAAATATTGTAAATCAGCCTTTTAGTTTTATATAAGGTTTCTTGCAGAAACTTGGAAACAATTCTTTGTCTGTTTTATAACACCCCTGCCAAAATCTCATTAAAAACCTGAATGCAGCCAATTCCTACACACTTTGAGAAGAGCAAATGTGAACCTCTGTAAGGCTACGTTTTTTTCCAGTGGCAAAGCCTCACTGTTTCCCTTCTCATTTCTCTTTCTTGCAGTTACTCACTGCCCAGAGGCTGTCCCCATGACAGCTCTGCAGACTGAGCATCTCTCTTGTAAGACCCCTAGGAGAGCAAGCTCACACCATACCTTGCTCTGCTGAGCAGCAGCTAAACTCTTCCACATAATACCTCCATGAAGACATTCAAACATAATTAGAAGTCTTTCCCAGCTAATTCCCTCTGACTGCATGACATAATGGCCACAGAGCACCTAAATAATGTTTGATTTGGGCTAGTTTCAAGAGTTCTCTGTATTTTCTTATATATACAAGAAGTTTATGTAATTCATGTAGCAATGTCAGTTATAAGAGAAGGTCTACATTTTTCCTAAATCCTTTTGGCTGAGATCTTATAAAATCATTGTATTTGAATGATAATGGAAAAATTGGACTTTATTTTAAAGTTGACCATCTTACTCTTTCAACGTTTGAAAATAAACTTGAAAAGCTGGGAAACTTATTTTCCAATGTCACTGGAAGTATTTCCACAACTTTCAATGCTAGAAGTTTTTTTTCATTAGCAGGCAATTTTTAAGACTTTGAGTAAGTTTTGATACTACATATGTGTGCAATCATGGGTTTTTTTCTTGTTTGTTCAAAAGATATAAAGTGCATCATGTTACAGACCTCTAAGCAGTATGAATTTCAATTCTGGAAAGTAAATAAATGAGAGCTTGGAGGAAAGAGAAGACAGCTTCAATGTCCTTCACTGACTTTCCCAAACAATCTTTCATATTAAGACATTTGGAACTAAATAAAAACCACTTACTTTTGAATTGGCTTTCTCTTTGTGAAATTGAAATTAACACAGGCAAACAGATAAATTAATTGCACTATCACATCTTCAGGCTGGAAAAGGCCACGGAGTTATTGGTTTTGATTTAGATAAAAAGAGGTATAGTTTTGCTTTTTATTTTATTAGTGGAATGGGACTAGCAGAGTGAGAGCCTGCCACCTAACTAGGAGGATTCCTAGGAACTCTGATTATAAAAATGTAGTAACATGAGCAGGTGCATCAGAAAACTAAGTTGAAAAATAAACTCTTGAAGAAGGGTGAAAGCTTAGCCAGCCATTCAATATTAGGCCACATGAAGCATTGTATAATAGACAATAGAGAGCAGGCTCCTTCATTAAAAGAATGGAGGAGGTAGAATTCCTTGAAGATATGGTCCATATCTATGAAACTGATGTTGTGAATAGATGCAAAAACAGTTAAAGAGCATCATCCCCAAGACCCTGTGATATTCAGTGTTGCTATTTTTGCTGCTTATTATTATTACTGTGATTGCCGTGGTTAGCACCTGTGATGTGTTAGATATTGTCTAGACAATAGAGGAAATGAATGAGGAAAGAAGCACAATGCAGGCTTTTATGTCCAAGCCAACTTGATTCAATGTAAGTGGGGATGGGGGATAGGAACATCACGGGTCAGGCCAGGGAGAACTTGCAGGCTGATGAAAGAGAACCTGAACGGTAGAGAATGGATGAAGGAGAAGTAAAAGGAGTAGGTAAGGCAAAAAAGGATTCATTTTTTTAATGCCTTCCCAAACCAGATAATTCCCAGAGTGTTTTTCTGTTGTACTGCAGATAGTTTGTCACTGGACCCTGAAGTCTCAAAGGCAAATGCCTACGGTTTCACTGGCTGCCTGTCGTCTGTTCAGTACAACCACATTGCTCCCCTAAAAGCTGCCTTACGCCATCCCAGCGTTGCTCCTGTGACTGTCAAAGGCTTCTTGACTGAATCCAGCTGTGCATCTATAATGGAAGCTGATGTGAACACAGTAACTACGATATATTCCTCATCAGGTATGTCCTGCCAAGAGGGGAATGAGGAACTTAAAGGATACTGTAGAATGAGGGTTCCTTCCTTTTTGCTATAATGCAATTGAGATAGTATAAAAATTGGAACTGAGAAGTTGCCTTTTCACTCAGAATTAGGGATGTTGAGGATGGGCATTAGGATTAGCCAAGGCTTCTTTTAAAAGCCATTGTACTAAAACAAAGTTTCCAGACTAAGTTCCTGGATTGCCTAAAACATGCCTAGAATAAACAAAAAAGTCCCAAAGCCATGGTGGAAACAGCATTGGAAGTATGGTTATGCACCCGATTTGCCATTCCTGTCCACTCTAGATAGCTCCGGTGCTGCAGATCTCAAAAGAGAATATATATGTTACACAGATTCTGTATGCCAGTAGTGATGAAGCAATAGGAGTCATACAACAAACAAGTCGAATTTGTTTCCACCCTAGCAGAAACAAATAAAAACTCCTTGTACAAACCCCCCAAAACATGCACGTGACTTCCATTGAATGCTTGTACTTCATTCTCTCAGGCTGAAGAGAAGGAGCACTACTCGAGCGGTACCAGTAAGATGCTCCCAATCGTTCATTTATCTTTTGCAATCCTGAAATTGTCCTCTGGGAATCTTAAGTATTTTGCATATGTGAATTTGTATGCAGAGAAGGAAACTCAGAGCAGCTGGAAGTGTTGTCACCAGGAAGAGGGGCAATCAGGTTGCTGCTTTAGTCACCAGTGGATGTGGCAGAATTCTTAATGACCAGAAAGGGGTACAAATTAAGGGCTATTTTTTGCCCCTTGACCTATGAAGCCACTTTCTCTTTTCTGATAACTAATAAAACTCTGGTTTAGATCATAATATGATTCCTTTGAGATTTGTACCTGCAACAAATCCCCATTTCCTGCAGCTTCTGCCTAAGATATTCATCAGAAAACAAATGATGCTATTAGCATTCTGCGCAGGGAAGAAGGCTGCTGATTACTCTGTGGAGAGCAGCTGCCAGTGTGTTTGTGTGCTTCTCCCCACACCCCAACTTCCTTCTCACTGCCCAGAGTTGTCTAAGGTATCTGCTTTGATGCACAGAAGAAACGTGTCTTGTAAATACCGAATGGGCAAGGATAGTGAAAATATGAACTCCTTGCCCTGTGATGTGTCACCTCGATGATCTAATTATTCTAAAGATTTTAGAAAGCAATAAAACCTGAGGCTCAGAACTGCAGGACAGAACACAGAGCAGAGCGTAGCATCTTCAGACTTAAATATTTAAAGCTTACAATCAGTTGAACTCTATTGTCAAGGTTAAGCACTGTTACACCAGAAATGCAGAATTATTATAAAAGCTTATCCCTGTCTTTGCCACTCTGTGCTTTAAAATATGATTTCCTCTCAATATGATGAATTAACTGACACTACTGCCTCACTATTCATGCTGGATTTGATTAAAGCCTGAATAAGATCTTTAGAACAAGTTAGTTCTGAAGATTTCATGTCTTTGTATGCTATAGTAAGAGTACTGAGTAGTAGATTCTTGTTTAAAAAAAATTCCCATTTGTAGCAAATTGTAGTTTCTATAGATGTACTTGGGAATTACATTTATACATGGAAAGGACACATTTTAAGAAATCAAAAGATAGAGTTAAGGAATAACTTTCAAATTTACTGCTCATATCTCAATTCATCAGTTCCAAATTTCTCATTATTGAGTGAGAAGAAAAATAGAACTTCAAAGGTGACTGTACATGTCTGTGTCAATTTTCTAATGTACAGACACAACAAAGCAGCCCTCTAGGAAATCTCTCTTTAAATGTGTGAAAAAAGCTTTCTATATTTATAACTTGAAAACAATTGAAGCTCTTTCCTTCAGAGAGGAATACTTGTTGTCTTCAAGAAAGTTTCCTACCAGACGTATATGGAATAAAATCCATTCACTCGTGGCTCAGTTATCTGTACATGTATTTTCTGATTAGGAAACATGAAATGAAACTTACTGTGGTTTTGATATTTAACAAAAATCTGCAAATCACCTTCTTCCTTGCTGAGGCATATGTAGAGGTTTTGGTATGCTGAACTCTACACTGATGGCATAAGAATAATGGACTTTTACTATGCTTTTTTTTAAATATATTAAAATTCTGTAAATGCCAGAGCAGATTTAGCTGTGTGAATGGTGGAGTGTTGCGCTGCCTGTCTACTCCAGCTGAAGAGCAGGTCTTTGTGCATTTAAAATAAAAAATGGCAATGACTTTCATAAGTCAAAAACTACATGGAAAAATTTTGCTTCTGAAAGGCACCTTAAACAGTGCAAGTCTCTGTCACACTGTGCTAGTTGTGCAGGAGCTGATATTTCCAAACAAGAAGTTATTGTGCAGGGATATGCTGGGACAGCCTTGGCTGTAGCAATTATGAGATGGTGGAGTTCAGGATTCTGAGAGGAAGGAAAAAAAAAAAAAACCCACAACAGAAAGCATGATTGCAACCCCAGAATTCAGGAGATTAACCTTTGACCTGGTCATGGACCTGCTTGGAAGAATCCCACGGGATACAGCCTTGGTGAGAAGAGGGGTCCAGGAGAGCTGGTCCACTTCCTCCAAGATAAGAATGGTCCATCCCAATGAGCAGGAAATGTAGTGAAGGTGGCAAGAGGCCCAGAGAGGTTGTGAAGTCTTCATCCTTGGATATATTCAAAACCCAAATGAATACAGCCCTGAGAAACTTGCTGTAATAGACCCTGATTTGGGTAGGGGTTTGGACTAGATGAGAAGTCTTCTGACCTCAGCAATGCTTCTAACCTCAGTGATTCACACCGTAATATCATCAGTTTTATCTAAAAGGAGAATGTCCTGTTAAAGTGTCATATAAGACACAGTTGCATTTCCTTGGCTTCAGAGATTATGGTGTTCCCATTGGAGATAATTCTGCTGTCACAGGCCATCTACTTCACTGTAACAAACCCTCATCTCCTTATATCCTGATTTTATTTCTCAGGCAAAACATAATTCTAAGGCCAATTCTGTTGGCCTCCATTCTGAAACTGATCTCCAACATTTGTTCTGGTTTCCTCTCAGTGCTTAAATTCTGCTAAGTTGCCAGAAAAATAGTGGAGCTTTAGTAGCATTTAGTGTCAGATCTTCCATAATCTTTTAGACATGTGACATCTTATATAATTTTTAAGGTAGAAATTTAATTTCATGCTTTTTTCATACATAGTTAATAGTCTTTCATGACTCTATTTTACTAATACCATGCACCAGATACTAGCTGGAGATTTTTCACTAGTAAGAGATGACCGATGTTCAACAGATGTGAATTTTTATTGTAACTGGTTTCATTGGCACTAGCTGAGGGCTGGGGTAGAGAATATCTCACCAAACTTCCAGTATCTGAAAGTTAAATCATCTTGAGTTTAAAATAATGATACTCCTCTCTTCTATTTTGTGGAAAGAAAAAACGAATCACACTGTCCATCTTTGACAGCCATCTTAGCGTATAAGGTTCTTTTCCTCTGTTTGAGTAAAAAAAAAAAAACCAACTACTAGTTTTGATTTATATAACTAACTCTGGGATACTGAAAAATAAAGGACATTAACCTACCCATGATGTACAAAATTATGAGCAACCTTGATCTGACTTTGAATTTGGCCCTGCTTTGAGCTTAGGCTCACAGGCTTGAGATTAGGCTAAATAACCTCCAGATTTCCTTTCCAACATAACCTTTTCTATGGTGCTATCTCTATTTATGTGTAAAACAATTTTTATCCACATTCCAGTACCACAAATGTAGTAAATGAGATGAAGCATTGCCATGATTATTTGTTTCTTGGCAACATCACTATAGGCACCTAATATCCAAGCAAGGCGCCCCTTGTACATAGGTCTCAACCTGAGTGTCCAAATCTGTCATTGACAATTACCATTCATGGTGATAATGGGTGTACTGGAGGCATTCAGTTGGTCCCAGAAGGCCCTTTTGTGACGGTAGTTCAGTCAATAAATTGCAGAAATGGGGAACTCTGTTTTCAGTATGGATGTACTTAATGAGAAATCCTTCTACCCCTACAACTAGAAGTATAGTTGCATCTTTTAAAATATGAAAATCTCTCTGAGGTTGATGCCTTCTGCACATCATTGGGGCTGGTATCAGTGATATAGAGAATAAGGAAAAAGTGGCCCCTTTAAGTAGCCCAAAGCCACCATCACTACAAATTCAGCACCTCCTAATACACAAATATGAAATTGTTGCTTGTTTCAATAAAAAACATCTTCTTGGGCAATGAGATACCAAAATGTGGCTGAGTCAGCTACTAAGGCAAAGATGTTCAATTACAATAAACCTTGCAACACCAAATTTCTCAGTTAGGCTTCCACTTCTTGCATCTGAAAGATCAGTTTGGCAAAGCAGTGCAATATATAGCAGAGATGGTCATCTGTAACTCCCATGTACATCCTCTGCTTGATGGCCTGGAGGCTTGTAAAGGAGAGAAACACAGATAGGAATCTTGCAAAAGAAGAGGGTGAGCTGAAAGGAAAAAAATATGAAAGTGCAGAAAAGCTGGATTCAACTAGCAGTAGAAAACAGCATTTTCTGAAACATGCAGGACTAAAGTAGGTATACTGTTGTAACTCCACTGCCTTCAGGGAGGGCTAGACGTCTCAGGTTTGGATCTGAATTTCAAACTGCCAACATGTAGACTGTTTGGCCCTGTGTTTCGACAGTAGTAATTTATAGATGGGGAGAGAGCTCCAACATCAAGAAACCTTTTATATAATAATTCATCTTTGACCCTTCTCTGTTTTGAATCCAATTGGACCACTGCATTTCTGCAATGAAGAGAAAAATATTCCTTCCAAGAAGCTGTCCCAAGCAGAGACTGTTTCTCTTTATGGGACTGAATACAACTTGTATATGTACATCTACAGACGTCGGTCAGGTCTAAATCTGTCTGGTCTTCCTTTCCTTTTGCTTCTTTCTGATATTGTTTCTTATGTATAAAAAAAAAAAAAAAACACCCTCTGACTGAGAAAAGCTCCCAGTAGACTATTTAGTTCAAATGTCTCTCTGGTTCTTCTACTGATAAACTGAGACAACACTTTCAGATGTTAGTGTGAGCATTTTTGCTTCCTTTTAAATATACCCTTAACAGACTTTACTCCTGAAGATGTAACAAAAATTGTCCTGCAATCTCACTTTATTTTTGAGAGAGCTTTCTGGTTTGATTCTCCAACCCGCAAATCACACCTTTTGAAAACAGGTTAGAATTCATGAGGGTAAGAGGATGCTTCTAAGCCACAGAGAAAATGAATATAGTTGGTACAGAAAATAAGTCCTGTTTTGTTTAACCAACTGCAGATCCCTTTGGGAAGACAGATGAAAGAGAGCCTCTCACCAATGCAGTCAGAAGTGATTCAGCTGTGATTGGAGGTAACTTCAATTTTAAAGATTACAATCGAAAAATAATCCTGTCAAGGAAAACATCTAGGGTACTTTGAATCTGAGCCGCATAAAATCCAGTTCAAGTTTTCTGTAATCTAATGCAGGCCTAGTATTTGCTGTATTTATTAGCACATGTCTGTATCAAGCTACCTAGATAAGCACCTGCATTATGGATTAAGCCAACAGTGGCAGCACATGATGTTGAATATCACACAGAAGAAGGCATTACAGATCGTCAAGAACCAGAGTCCTCTAAAATATAACCAAAGTCTGTCTATCTGCCTGCTTGAGCAGGGGATTTCGAAATGATGACCTCCTGTGGTCCCTTCCAACCTCAGTCATTCTCTGATTCCATGTGATTCTGTGATCTAAGACCCAGCTAACTAGTAATTGTTTTACACACCACTCTAATGAGAGCCTCAGCACGGTACTCACATATTCTGTATGTCTTGAGCTCTCTCTTTGAAAGCTGATGGTGTAGTGGAACTCGCTTGGTCATATGTAAGCATTTATATACTAGGACAAGTTGTCCTCATAGCTTCATGTATGGTTTTCATTTTCCATTAACAACCTAGAGGTCAATTTATCTCTGTTTATTTTCTAGGAAGCCCTGTAGGGAGCTGCCTTTGATAATATCTAGAAGCTATAAACCAAAGTGTATAAGGCTCATGAAAGGTTTCCAGAGATAACACAGAAGAAAATACGACAGAGCAGGAATTTGTATGAGCATACAGATCTAGTTTTTAAAAACAAACACACTGACCCAACTGTACTTGCAGTGAAAGCAGAATTTGACCGAAATTAGGTCAATTACATGAATGCTTGCTGCTTTAAGTCTTACTTAGAGGTGACAAAATAGAAATAAAGACAACCAGGAAGGGTGTGATAGAGGCTGAGATGAACTGATCTATGATATCCACTAGCTGTTGTGCATTGATAATGTATTTTTGAGGTAACTGGGGTTTTTGTTTTGGTTTTCGTGTTTACTCTTTCTATCTTTTGCTTTTTTACCCCTCTTCAGGTGTAATAGCTGTTGTGATATTTATCATCTTTTGCATCATTGCCATCATGAGCAGATTCCTCTATCGGCACAAACAAGCACATCAAAGTAGCCAGACAAAGGAGAAGGAATACCCAGAAAACCTCGAGAGCTCCTTCAAAGCTGACATTGACTTGCAGAACACAGTGAGCGAGTGCAAACGAGAATATTTCATCTGATGGACAATGCAATTTCTTCTTACTGTTATTCCCCTAATCTTCCTTCCTTTATTCCTTCTTCCTTTTTTTTCTGCAATTTTTTTTGAACATTGATTGTTTTGCTAACTTCTTTTTCATTTCGAAAAGACCACTCTGCACAGGAAACACTGACAACAATCGCAGTGCCTCATTCTCTGCACGAGAACATGTTAGTCACAGTTTACTTCTGCAGCTCAAGAGACCTGTTATTCCACCTTACACAAAATAAGATTCACATGCACACCTGGTTTCTGCTATGGGTTCCTGGATGTTTCAAAGTCCCTACATTTATTTGTCTTTTTATCTGGAGACACTTAATTCATCACTTTTACACTAGAGCTGGACTATGTAAAGTAGAGGTAAAGTAGCTGAACATGTAGCTCTACAGATACTGGGACAGGATAGAGGGAAAGAATGAGACCAAAACGCCTGATTTATTTTACAGGCTCATTTACAACAATCATAAAGAACTGGCCATATTCTCAAGTGATATGAATTGATATATATCTATTGAGTTCAACAGCGTTCCATTAATTTATACCAGTTGAGAAGCTGGTACGAGGTAAGGAAGAATAAAACTGTCCTCACTGAGCTCCTTCCCCCAGCCTCCTGTCCTTTTACTGTAACTTTTAGGCTTATCAGTACTTTTCCAACAATGTGTATCAACAATAAATGTCATTCCTCTTTCACCTCCATCTCATAAGGCTGGCTATGTAGACCAAACATACTCTAGCATAATTCTAGCTGAAGCATGGAAAATAGTAGCTTAAATCTCCAAGGGTTTTAGGAAGCTGCTAGGACTTAGGTGCTCTATATTTGTCTGAAATGTTAGAAATGCAGCATATACCTGTTCATGCCATATGGAGGATTATCATGCACTGAGGTTAAACACTGTTGCCGCTGTGGCAAAGTAAAAGTACATAGACAAGAAAAAACAGAAATAGTTTAATCTTAAAGATGAATCACACCATCTGCCAGTTCTAAAAAAGAAAAAATTCCAACAACTCAAAAAACCCAACGCAAAACTGCATGAAAGATTCCTGTTTGTAGAAATTGGAATATCTTCTCCAAAGCTAAATAGAGAGAGGTCTGATGTCATGTCTAAAAAGGTTGATATTTAATCAACCCTGTTTATAAGGAAGAACATTAGGGAAACAAGTTTAAAAAGATGCCAAATACTCTACTCCGAATTAACCTGTCCTGTTTTTCTAAAGTCTTCTGTCCTTTCCTGATTGGGAACAATACTGAAGACTCGAATCCTGCCCATTTTACTTGTGCTGCATGGTTTCAATGTGAGGCTGAAAAACCTTTTCGGTCATCCTACAGGTAAGAAATGGAGAAATCCCACCAAGGCAGGTTTTTCACATCCTGCTTGTGTCTGTGGGACATACTGCCTTTGCAGGGCTTCTGAAGAATATATAGAATTTGCTGTCAGACTTGAATGTTTCTGACAGGGGTTGAATCAATCCAACAGCTAAGGAAAAAAAAATCTTATTTATTGCAGTACTCTTGATAAGAATTCAAGACAATTAATTATGCAGCTGAATCTCTTTCTTTGCCCCCTAGACCCTTCTGCAGTTACCCTGGGGTATCCTCATGGTGATCCTTTTTACACAGATTAAAATCAAAGAATCATGCTATGAAGTATTAACCCACAGCAAACTGGAAATGAGGTTACATATGCAACAGGTGCTATTTTTCTAGGCAGTGCATTGCAAAGGTGTGTAGCTGGTTATTTTTCTGATGGGAGGAGGGGACAGACAGGGAAGAATAAATAAATGACAGTTTGGATGTGATGATTCTTTACCACTTCTTTTGGAAGACTTTATGAGAAGTAGCGTCTACAATCATGTTGCTCTTGTGTGAAGAGGAATGTGAGGCCAGGCCCATAAGGAGAACTCTGAGCAATTTTATAAAGCCATTTATATTGAAATTTGTATTGGTGCCATTCTTCCTTGACTGTGGTTGACAACAGCCCTTTTGTCTCATGCTGGCTGTTTGCATGATACATGATTGCTTGAGAGTGTTCTGCATGATGAGATGTGTAATGATGGACTCATTAGCTGTGTTCCCTTTATGTTGCTTTATCTTTTGCTGTGAAATCCTGGCAAAGCCATTCTTTTTTTCCCTCCCTCCTTCCCTCCCTCTCTCTCCCCCTCCCTTCCGCTCTCCCTTCCTTCCCCCAAATAAAGCTGCTTTGTTTGGCATGGTGGGAGGGGAGGAATAAGCAAGCGCATGGGCTCCTCTGCCCATGTTTGAGTCATCTTACCTGAAATGGCCACTGAAACATCTCTGAAGTCCCAATGTACTTAATTAGCTTTACGAAGAATGGAATAGGAAGGAAGGAAAAGCCCACAGCTGTGTACTTCTCTCTAGCCAAACTAACACATACAAATCATCCTTCTGCTTTCCTACATATCAGTTTCCAGGAATGAAATTACTATAAAGTGCAACAATAAAGCACAAAACGGCTCCAGCAGTGGAGTAGCTGCAAAAGGGAGACTGAGCAATGAAACAGCGTCCTCTCGTTTCTCAAGTGACTGAATTACCTTCAGCCACCTTAGGGCCTGATTCTGCAAGATACTGAGTTTTCTCAAGGAGGATCAAGTTCCCATCACCAAATGTAGATATTAGTGTTGCTGCAAACATTTCACATACAGCTCAGTGTCTCAGTCCTGGGCCAGAGAGCAGGTGTAGTGGCATATCGTGTGCAAGACCGGACCCAGCAGAACAGCGTAAGCAGTTTGTCCATTTTTCCTTATCCTCACTTAATATAGCCCAGGCTAGTGAAACTCCTTGAAAATTTAGTTACGTTGGTGTGCATCTGTAAAAAGAAAGAACCGCACATACATAAATACATGCATGAGTATACAGAAACACATGCATTTATACCTATGGATGTAACGAGCTGTGAATATTTATCTGCTACAGGGCTGGACAAATGAACATATTTGTATGGAATTGCCATTTAATGTCCTATCTTCTAAATCAGGAGGTTAATATTATTCTTATTAAAAGGTAACTAAAAGATACTATTTGAAGTACCCTAATACTACCTCCTCTTTTTTTTTTTTTTTTTTTGTTATAATGCTTTCTTTAGTGAGGGCATAATCCAATTTACTTCAATACCAGTTAAAGGCAATTAAAAATATTTTTTTTTTAAAGAGAAGAAATTTTGAAAAAAACTACCAGCATTAAAATTGCTTTCATTTTCCACAGTTCAAATTAGACATTTTTTCCCATCTATTACAAAACATTTCTGCTATTTGTGTTAAAATTGCTCTTTAAGGCGGAGGGGAGGGAGGGTGTGCATGTGTCTTTCCTTTTTTCTTTTAGCTATCATTCTAGATAACATTTTTTCAGTAAACGTAGGGGATAATACTTTTATATACACAATGTCAAGATTTATTTTAATGGAAGACCTAAGAGTATCAAAGAATTGTTTGGTGGTGGTGTTTGGTTGTTTGGGTTTTCTTCCTTCTCCCAAGAGAAGTTTCAAAACAAAAGTAAGGGGCTGGTAGAAGGATATCAAGTCTCTTTTTCTCCTGGTGATATGGTGTGTAACCCCTGAAAATTATTATTGCTAGGCAGGAATTTTTAGGCTATGAAATTTCTAAGTCACTTATATATGGATTTAGGTACTGCAGATTCCTGTTTCCAGAAATGACTTGGCCAGTAACAGCCATGCTTCTAAAGATGTTTAGTCATGCAAAGTCTGAACTGGATGCCTAGAAGGACTGTCTGAGAACCCTGGTGTCTGGCTATAGAAAAAAATGAAGGCTGTCTGTCAGAAAGCTAAATCCCACTAACTTTCAGTGAGACATAGGCTGCCACCTGAGTGAATCATAGAATCTTTGAGTTGGAAGGGACCTTTTAAGGTCATCTTGTCCAACCACCCTGCAATGAGCAGGGACATCTTCAAATACAGCAGGCTGCTCCGAGCCTCATCCACCCTGACGTTGAATGTTTCCAGGGATGGGGCATCTGCCACCTCTCTGGGCAGCCTGTGCCAGTGTTTCATCACCCTCATTGTGAAATATTTCTTCCTTATACCTACTCAAAAACAATCTAGTCTGCTGAGGATGTGGATCAATGCTTAAGTGACTCAACAAGATGAGCACTTGACTCAAATGTATTTCAGTTGGATTTCTGCTTCTGCCTTGCTGTGAAATGTTTTAAAATACTACATGACATTTAAATACGTTTCAAAATTGAGTCCCGTTTCTCTTTTGGAAATAAAACATTGGTCCTAAGGAAGTCACCTATGTAATTTGCAGTTAGTATTTCATCTGTCCTTATTCACTTACTAAAGACAAGACAGTGTGAGTGTTTTGGGTAGATTTTTAACACATACACTTTTTATTCTTTTTCTTGTTCTTGCCATGGCACAGCACTTAGGGTATGTCTGCAGTGAAAACAAAGCCAAACAAAAGACAGGCTTTTAACTCACATTGCCTAAACCAAGATTCTCATCTGGGTGACTGTAGCTGTGAAAACATCCATTTAGAGCTGTACTTGTTATCCGATTGTGTTCAGTCATGAGATTCCCCTGACATTTTAAGTTAAAACCAAGAGCCAAAATACAAACATGAGATGCTTTCTCTTTGCTTTATTTTAACCTGATCTAGGCAGACTTAACCCATCCTATTTAGCAATTGCTTAATTTTTACAGTGTAAGTTAAGCCCTTATTTTAATGAGGTGTTCATTTATATTAGCATTTAACTGATCACATATTTCACACATAGGGTGAGGAACAATCAATACATCATATGGTTTCACTATGGTGAGGGGATATGAGTCTTCTCCTAATGAAGTCAGCTATCGATTTTGCTGAGCATACGATTGAGTCCTAGACCTACAGAAGCACTTGAAGATTGCTTTTATCTGAGTCTTTTTAGGTTTGTTTCATTTTGCAGAATTTGTCTACATATAGGAATTTTACACAAGTCTTGCAGCTCCAGTAGACACATCTGCACAGGTCTTAAGACAGACCTGTTTTTTATTGAGATGCCAGCTGGCATGAAGAAGGGACACCTCCTTGCGTCTAAAATTACACTAGACATCTCTGCTTAGGAAATGCATGTGCATTTCCTTATAGCCAAGTACATGAACATCAGGTGTCAAAGTACCCATTTGAGTTAGTGACCATCTGATCAGTAATCTGTGGGCTTGGAAGAAGATGGCTCTCCTTCCAGTCTATTCTAGATCAAAAATCCCAAGATGCATTCATTGCCTCATGTGGGAGCTTTGGCAGATAGCATACAGGTAGACAGATCTACGCAGATTTCATAATCTAAAGCTAACTCAGACCCCAAAGATGCCTTTGTAGCCCTGAGTGTCTGATGTCATTTGAAATGAACTAGAGTATCTCTGCAGCTCCAGTAAGGATGCAAGTCTCCTGTCCATCATGTGTTGTATCTGCTAGCCCCAAGCAGATATGTCTGATAGCTGCTGGCTTTTCAAATGATAGTAAATGCCCATCCAGAACCCCTACGTTCTTGATGAGATGAATCCCTGAAAAAAATCCCATCTCAGAACAAAATCAACCTTCCTTTCCATCAGTGTAAATCAATCAGTTGAAGTGTGTCCTTCATCTCAGCTTAATAAGAGTGTAACAGGAGGCAGAATTTGACCCTTTTGTGCTCCACCATCTCATGCCATTGTTGGTTGTTGTTGTCACCTACACAAAGCTTACACTGAAGATAAGACCGGTTTCAAGTATTGTTCTGCACTGCCAGCTTTTCACAGACACAAAGGGGGTTTTATTTATTTAAATTTTGTCAGAAAGCAACAGTTTATAAAAGACTTGAGCAAAAGCTGAGACTCTGTGAAGGTCTCTAAGACAAGTGCTATTTCAAAGCTTTCATGCAGTTTTGTAATGCCCTCTTATCAAACTAGCCAAGTGGTACAGTTACATCCCTGCTAAACCAAGGGCCTTATCCAGAGTCTTTTGAGGTTGGTGGGAGGCCTCTTGG